GCTTTGTTTACAGCGGAAACCAAGGAAACGCTTTAAGCGCCACCTGCTGGCAGAGAGTGAATCTGCGTCTCTTTCAGCTCGTCTGCTGTTTCTGTTTCATGCAGATATTTTTATGTATAGTTTCACAAAACTGAAGTCAAACCATTCTGTTTTTGCTTTAAATTTCGAAATTATACAATCTAATTTAGATTAAAAAATGTATAGTGTATAATGTTAGATTGTTGCATGTATGCAGCATCTTTTTTTGGATCATGATGGAAATGCAGTAGTTGCTTCTAATTTTAAATGGAAAGAGCACAGACAAAGCCTTATTTTGTTTATATGAAGAGATTTATTTTGTGTTAACATACTTATTTATTTGACTTGGGGCTTGTTTTAAAATTTCAGTTTAGTTTTGTTATTTACATTATATTTAAATTTTGTTATTTAGCAGATGCTTTTATCCAAAGCAACTTACAAATGAGGACAATAGAAGCAATCAAAACCAACAAAAGAGCAATGATATGCAAGTGCTATAATTAGTATATTATTATAGTGTTATATTTCAATTTCACAAAGAAACATGCAGCATATTGTCCAAGCAATAATAAAAGGACACATTAAATTTATAATTTGTCTTAAATCTCATTTTGTAAAAAAAAAAACAGTGAATCTAATCGAATCGTGAAATCAAAACCGTGAATCGAATCGAATCGTGAGTTGAGTGAATCGTTACATCCCTACTCGCGGCACCGGCCTCGCTCTGTTTTGGAACGGCTCTGCCCTGCTTGCCACAGTGTTATTGTAGTATTCATTAATTCATCAATAATTGTAATATTCATATTATAGTAATAATTGTATTATTAATAAATAATATTAATGATATTTGTAAGATGCCTGTGTAGGTGCTACATCTGAAGTCTGGAGAATTCTTGTAGTTTGATTGCTACAGTGAGAGCTGTTACGATCTCACTGTGTGGTCATTTTAAATTATTGTTATTATTATTATTTTAATTTAAATGTTTCAAGTGCCCTCAAAGGAATAGTTCACCCAAGAATGAAAATATAAAATGAAAATAATTTATTCACCCTTATTTTGTTCCAAATACAAAACAAATTCTAAAGAATGTTGACGCTGCCCTTTTCCAAACAGTAAAATAATACAAGTGCTATAAAGAATGCTGCGACCAAAACACTTTTGACAGCAGCATTTAAAAAAGCCCTCATCTGTGCTCTGACTCTGTAGAATCCTATTCTGGACAGACTGGGACGCCAGCATGCCCAGGATAGAGGCTGCGTCCATGAGTGGACATGGCAGGCGCACCATCCATAAGGAGACGGGCAGCGGAGGATGGCCCAACGGACTGACTGTGGACTATCTAGAGCGCCGCATTCTGTGGATCGATGCCAGGTGATGTGTGAAGACTCGCCTCATACAATAGAATGTGTTTTACCCATGTCCGTGCCCTGACACTATCCCAATCCCTAACCCAGGGGTGTCCAGTCCTGCTCCTGGAGGGCCACTTTGGAGGTTAGCTCCAACACACAGACGTTTCTAGTGATCCTGAAGACCTTGTTTCGCTGGTTTGGCACTAAAGATAAACTCTGCTGTCAGGTGACCCTCCAGGAGCAGGACTGGACATTCTTGCCCTAACCGTTGACAGTGAAACTTTGTAAACACGGTGGCTAAAATCTACTTGATATCATAGAATCGTTCCATTTTGTGATGGTTTGTTTATGTCTTGTGTCTCAGATCTGATGCGATCTATTCAGCTAAGTACGACGGGTCTGGACTGATCGAGGTGCTCAGAGGACACGAGTATCTCTCGCACCCGTTTGCTGTGACAATGTATGGAGGAGAGGTTTACTGGACAGACTGGCGCACAAACACGCTGGCCAAGGCCAACAAGTGGACAGGAAACAATGTCACTGTGGTTCAGAGAACAAACACTCAACCTTTCGACCTGCAGGTGTACCACCCATCTAGACAACCGCAAGGTAATCTTCAAACTTTATTCCAACATTACTGTGATATCGATATTACTAATGGCTGTTTCACACGGCAAAGGAAAACAGTGGGATATATCAAAGTACCGTGGTGTCTAATACAGTCAATTTACCGTACCACCTTTTCGTAAAAGACTAACTGATTCAAAATGCTTCTAATGGATTCCAAAAGTTGATTCCAGTAGCGTGAGTTTTTCCGATTCTGAAGATTTCATTGGTCATGTCAATCACAGTGCTGATAGTCTACACAAAGCTACAATAATATATAGCGTTGGAAGCACATCCTGATAGATAGCATTACTGTTTGTTGTGATCAGATCCATCCTTGATTTTTTTCTCTGAGTTGAAAACATGAAGTCTAAACTTCTGTTAACAGGTGACTGCATGATTGAGGTGACCAATGAATTTGCGTTTGAGCTCGACTGGTTTGAGAAGTTTGACGTTAGCAGGTTGCTAAGCTAACAGCACAATCATCTTAACTACACTGAATACACATATTGGGTAAAATTGTGAATTATTTTCTGATACTTTTCATCATTAATGTCATTTCTCTCAACTTCTTGAGATCTTAGCAAATTGAGCTCATCACAATGCATACATGTGACGCTGTAGTTTCTAGAGATTCATTTGGTCCATTCTGAAAGATCGCAGCTCAGACTGAGGGAGCAGCCAGTCTGCTTGATGGACACACGTATTGATGGTGTTTGGCACTTAATAAAGCAGCGTGTGAACAAACTTGTCATGATAGTTTAGCTCACTGACTTCATCTTATAGAGGCAGACTTCTGACAGGAGCAGACACGGGATGAATTGGTTTGGACATGCTTTGTTTGTTGTGAACTCATTACCTTTGGATTTCTCATTCTTACTTTTTCATCATACTTCCTGTCCTTCTCGAACAGCGTAGATATAGATCATGAATCATTCATCTAAGAGCAAATGCCCATAATATCAAAATAGCCAAACGTTGGCCAATTAATCTGCATTGCTGTCTCAGCTGGTTCGGTTTCTTGGTGGCGGCAATAAATTTGAATGTGGTGATGAGACAATAAAGCTTCAGTGCCTCTCATCTCTCTCTGTTTCTCCAGCGCCAAACCCATGTGCTGCTAACGGTGGTTTGGGCCCATGTTCTCACCTGTGCTTGATCAACTATAATCAGACGTTCTCCTGTGCCTGCCCACACCTCATGAGACTGAGTGAGGACAACCACACCTGCTACGGTAATCATCTCCAGATTGATTCACAACCTGACAGAATCTGTGCTGTATGCAGTTTTACATCTGCAGACATGTGTTTTTTTTTTGTTTTTTTTTTATGGGCTTCTTGATATAGTCCTACATGAATGAAAACTAGCAGTGATAATGTCAATTAAAACTAAAACTAATAAAAATTGTTTTTGTTCATTGAAATAATCAATCAACGTAAACTCAGCACACCTGAAACGAGGATAGGTGCATGGGAACAAAATCAAACAAAAAGTTGAATCAAAAATAAGTAACGAAGCCGCACACTATCAATACTTGCTAATTCTTAAACTTTATTAAAGCAACGTTTCGGTCCACTGACCTTCATCAGGCAAAAGATGAAGGTCAGTGGACCGAAACGTTGCGTTTAATAAAGTTTAAGAATTAGCAAGTATTGATAGTGTGCGGCTTCGTTACTTATTTTTGATTCAACTTTTTGTTTGATTTTGTTCCCATGCACCTATCCTCGTTTCAGGTGTGCTGAGTTTACGTTGATTAATGATTTATTAATGAAAGTTATCATAAAGTGCTACCGAGATAATGAGTTGAGATGGGAAAAATTAGACATCGCGTTGGTTTCATATGGATTAATTCAACAGAGAATATTTTTAGACATTTCAAGCTTTCTATACATATATTTCTCATGTCTTTGAGGCAAGTATTCGCTGAGATTCAGGTTGTTTTATTTACGTGTCTGTGAAGAGAAATGACAAGAGACCTAGACAGCAGAGAGCGCACCCTGAATATTTTTCTTTATTTTACAAAAGCACATTGTTTTGTTGGTATTATGACTATACACAAATAAATGTAGACCCTTTGCAGTTTAAAACGATACCTTATTCTTATCTGTATGATCAAAAATGACAGAGTATGCTTAGTTCTTTTCGTGGTCATCAAGAAAATATGAGACAGACAGCACCGGTGCGGGCTTCGACCCCAGAGGGTTAATGGGAAAGGCGTAGTGATACAGACAGGGTCAAACACCAGCAAACAATATTATTCAAGGCAGAGGCAAAAGAGTAATCCATATAAACAGGCAACGGTCAGGGCAAGCATCACATGATCAAGAACAAGGAAACAGTCCAAACACAGGGTGGAGTGGCAAGAGTCTGGGGTGGAGCGCCCTCTGGTCACCATCAAGGGTACTCCAGCTGGTAATTGTAACAATTACATTATTTTAAAGAGTCTACCCCCAAGATTACTGTTATAAACATGAGCCGAGTCCAAAAGGTAAAGGGGGAGGCATTGCCACAATTTATAGAAATATTGTTTAGTATTTCTCAGAAAACAGTTTAACTTGTTTGAAGTAATGGGGCTTCATATAACATTATCCAGAGAAACAAGTGTTAATAATAAATCCCCTGGGATGTTTGTACTGGCTACTACATACAGGCCACCAGGGCACCATACAGACTTTATTAAAGAATTTGCTAATTTTCTGTCTGAGTTAATGCTGGCTGATAAAGTCTTGATTTTTGGTGATTTTAAGAATTTTGTAATTATATTCTTAAAAAAAAAAAAAACTTGCCCCTTTTAGACTTGCACTCTATTCATTTACTAACTGCTTGTCTAAAAAAAAAAAACTGACACTAGCTTCTCTATTCTTTTTGTATTCTATCTATTTGCTTTTTAAAATTGTTATACAATTAACAAAAAGCGAATTCCTTTTACGCTTAAGGAAGGTTAAGGAAAACAGTCCGACAGCATGGTATAACAAGCAAACTCGCACCCTAAAGAGAGCAGCCAGCACAACTGGAAGAAAACAAAACTAGATCCATTTCGCATTGCATGGCGGGAAAGTACCTTCTCCTACAGAAAAGCTTTAAAAACAGCTACATCTGATTACTTCCCGTCTCGTTTAGAAGAAAACAAACATAACCCCAGGTATTTATTCAATACAGTGGCTAAATTAATGAAAAATAAAGCATCAACAGGTGTTGAAATTTCCCAACAGCACAGCGGTAATGACTTTATGAACTACATTACTTCCAAGATCGATACTATTAGAGATAAAATTGTAACCATGCGGCCGCCAGGTACAGTATCACATCAGATAGTGTGCTATAGATCCCCGGATGGACAGATCGGAAGCTACTTTACTTCCAAGATTGATACTATTAGAGATAAAATTGTAACCATGCAGCCATCAGCTACAGTATCGTATCAGATAGTGTGCTATAGATGCCCTGAGGGACAATTCCACTCATTCTCTACTATAGGAGAGGAAGAGTTGTATAAACTTGTTAAATCATCTAAACAAACAACATGTATGTTAGACCCTATTCCATCTAAGCTTCTAAAAGAGGTGCTTCTAGAAGTCATAGATCCTTTTCTGACTATAATTAATTCGTCAGTCATTAGGATATGTCCCTAAAACCTTCAAACTGGCTGTTATTAAGCCTCTTATCAAAAAATCTCAACTTGACCCCAAAGAACTAGTTAATTACGGACCGATCTCAAATCTCCCTTTTCTGTCCAAGATACTAGAAAAGGTAGTATCCTCACAATTATATTCCTTCTTAGAGAAAAATGGTGGTTCAAATCGTACTTATCTGACTGCAATCAATTCATAGCAGTGAATGAAGAGGTATCATATCGATCACAAGTGCAGTATGAAGTACCTCAAGGCTCAGTACTAGGGCCGTTACTTTTCACGCTTTACATGTTAGCCTTGGGAGATATCATCAGGAAACACGGTGTTAGCTTTTGACTGTTATGCTGATGATACTCAGCTCTATATTTGTTTGCGGCCCGGCGAAACATACCAATTTGCAAAACTAACGGAATGCATAGCCGATATAAAAAACTGGATGAAGAGTAATTTCTTACTGCTAAATTCTGAAAAAAAACAGAGGTGTTAATTATAGGACCTAAAAACTCTGCATGTA